GAGTATTATTTCTTTTGGGCTCGAGTTCGAGTCCGAGCCCGTTTAATGCATTTTTTAAGGGTTAAATACAAAATCACCATTGTACTATGAACTTTGTATCATGTACTACACATAAATACAAAAATTCACGCACTTTTTTTCCAAAATTTGATGAAAATACCCCTGCTAAAGACGATAAATATTAGGGTTTGTTTAAGCTATTTTTCACTATATTTTTTAATCTTTTCAGTCAATTTTACTTGTTATTTTTGGTATTTTTATTTTTTTCCTACAAAACATCTAATTGCTTAGATTTTTTTTTTCTGAATAAAATCTTTTATTTTTGTCATTTTAAATTTCTTCATTTTTTTTCTTAAATGTCTTTCAGTAGTTTAAATTCTCAACAATCATAAGATTGTAAAGATGTTTGTAACTTATGATATATATTTGAACTAACGGAAGACATTTAAGAAAAAAAATAAAAAAACTCATAATGACGAAAATAACAGATCTATTCAGAAAATAAATAAAAAAATAAGCAATTAGATGTTTTGGAGAAAAAAATATAAATACGAAATTTTTCAAGTAAAATGGACTGAAAATGTAAAAAATATAGTGGAAATGGATCAAACAAACCCTTATAGGAGGGGTATTTTCGTCATATTTTTTAAAAAATATAATAGTATCGGGGTTTTGTATTTATGTGTAGTATAAGGGGGTATATGATACAAAGTTCATATTATAGAGGTGTTTTTGTATTTAACTTTTTTTTTTAAATATGTATTAATATTAGGGCAAATTACGGTCAACCCCTGAGGTATGGCCAACTTACGAAAATCTCCTCTTGTTTTGGTAATTATAGCCACCCTCCTTTTAAATATTTTTACATAAAATATAATTATGTTATTTACGAATTAACATTCCTAAATTACCTCTGGAAGGGTATTTTCATAAGATAATACATAATTGATGGGTGGTTATAATTACCCAAATAGGAGAGAGTTCGCGTAATTTGACTATAACTCAGGGGTGACCGTCATTTTTCCTAGAATATATATATATATATATATATATATATATATACCGGAACTAAAAGGTTATTAGAACTAACCATTTTTGCTAGAGAATTAGCGTTCAGTTATTTGAGACCAATAGAAAATAACAACCTGGTTCCCATATCAATTCAAAAATAATCATTACATCTATATATATATTTTAAATAGGAGTATATACATACATACATACATACAAATTTTCAAAATGTATATTATCGAGATTATTATCCATCTCTTTAGAGAGAGAGAGAGAGAGAGAGAGTAGAGAGAGAGAAAGAGAGAGCATGGTACGTGTTGGCACTGTCCAATAAATGCAGCTAGCGATGGAGGGGGGTCACTGATGAGTAGTGCAAAACGGATGTAAGTAAATTCTTTGCATGATATGTAATGTAATGTCTTGTTACTTAGTGCTGCTGCTGCTGTATCTGTATCTCTCTCTCTCTATATATATATATATTGATGATATAGAGAGAGAAAGAGGAGAGAGAGAGAAGGGAGGGGGGAGGGGGGTGATTGCAGAGGGGTGGGGGTGGAGGGGGGTCAGAGGGACAACCCGAAATAAATGCTACTTTTCCTTTTGGTATTTGGCTTCGTTAGGCGTGCATCTGTCGGGATATCCCCCTACCTTTAAAACCGTCCCTTTCACTTCATGCACACACATTTTATTTTTTTTTTATTTTATATACACATGCACCGATATCAAACACACACTCAAAACTTTATCTTTTACTTTTTTTCTTATTTAGGGTAAATTACAAACACACCCCATGATCTGTGTGGTCAAATTACGGAAAACCTCCTTCTGTTTAGGAATTTACGATGTAACTACCCCCACATACTCAACTATAAATCTTCTTAAACATCCACACTTGGAGTTTCAGATTTAGTGGAATTTATGATTATATGGAATATTCTCAATTTTGTACTCGTTTTATCGCATTCAAGCTCCATTTTGAATCAATATGATCATAATAAGTCTGTGTTTTTTGACTTATATATATATATATATATATATATATTGTGGTAAATCAGAAACTGTATTGTTTTACAAAACGAGTAGCTAGAGAACATTCCATCTACGGAATCTATAGATTATATTGAATTTGACACCATAAATATGGAGGTGTAAGAAGATTTATAATTAAGAGGTAGATATAATTATCCAAATATAAGAGATTTTTCGTAATTTGACCAAACATCAGGCTGTGGTTGTAATTTATCCTTTTATTTCAATTATTTTTTATTTTTATTATTTTATTTCAAGGGTTGTATGAAATTGCCCCTAAAATAATTAGTATATCGTTCAATTTACAACAATACTAATACAACCCGTAAATAGGACGGGTGCGCGCGATAGTTAACCCGTAGAAATTTAACCATTACGACACATCTATATTGTTAGTCGTCAGTTTCTTCATTCCATCTCCTCAAATATGAACTATGACCATTTGTACGAGAGTGTAAGTTTATATGCGGTTGAATGTGGGTTCCTTTATTACTACAATACAAACTATGACCGATTAGCAACCACATCCTCGAAATAAATGGTCTTTGACAACCATATCCCATACAAACGTGGGCATTCGTCATGTAAGCGATGGTCTAGCGTTTGGAATTCGAATTATAATTTCAAATTCGAATTCTCTTGTCAACAATCGCTAGGTGGGGTATGTCACACATAGTTTGCCTAGTGTGGTTTACGTCTCTCGTATAGTTTGCAAGCTATTATACGAAAGTGTAAATTTACCTAGTGCATCTATATAGTTGACTACTTGACTACGAGTTCTTTCATTTAAAAAAAAAAAGAAACAAAAAAAAAAAATTAGGCATTCCTCTGCCCTTATACTACAATAATTTAGTAACAACTAACAACACCACCCCATATGTTTTAATAATATTTTAAAAATATATGTTTTCCCCTAAGACCATTTTTTTTTTTTGCTATATACGTAAGTATAGAAATTAGAAGGTTTGAATTATAATTAACATGGTTACAAATATTTTTCTCTGACGAATGTAGCATATAAATAAGGGGGCAACTATTTTGAATACTAATTTTTGCTTAGTTGAATACTACCTAGTTGAAAACCACAATTGAGTACATATTTTTAAGTTTTTTCTTACTTTAAAACCAAAATAAAAAGAAAATTACAAAAACACCCTTTCATACAAAATATCAATTATATCAAATTTTATTAGAAATTACCTATTCAAAAACCAAATAAAAAAAAAAAGAAAAAAACCCTTTGTTGTTAAAAAAAAAAACCTCCACCATTTCTTCTCCTCTCCAACCCTGACCGCCGCCGCCGCCGCCGACGCCGCCGCCGCCGAACGCCACCGTACGTGCTCGTAACTGCCGCGACAACCCAATTAAACCCTATCTTTTTCATCTTCTTAAATCCTCCAAAACATCTCCAAATTCAAAAAATCAAAACGTCACAAAACTTATAAAATGGAGTTATAAGACAATAATATGGTAGTATATGTGGAAAGAGAAGCCATTAAGGTAAGTATCGATGTCTTTTTTGAGCTTCGAAGTCGATTTTGAAGTTTTTTTTTTTGAA